TTATAAAATATTTCAAGAAGTTTGTGGACTTCTAGGAATTAAAGTCCCCATTAATGAGTAATTAAGTGAAGACATACATAATCCTAAAGTGTGTTTACATTCTGTTTCTAAAACAATTTGTAATCATTTAGTTCCCAATTATTTCTTAAACTAACAATAAACAATTGAGGGGTGTAGGTGAAAGCCTTGCTCTTCTATTTTCTCCCCCATTTGCTGCCTTTGCCCTTTGAAACCAAGATTCTTCTTATGTAAATATCATATAGGATATCTTGCCACAAAGAATATTTCAGTGTAATTATTCCTTAAAATATTCATGTCTCAGGTAATTAGCTGGTATATCATCTGTAATTTGCTTATACATAAGGTCAAAAACCTGAGGTAATGCATCATAATCTAATCATTTCTACTTTCTTTGCCAAGGTTCACTGAATCTTTTAACCTACATTGACTATGATAAAGTTAATTTTCCATATTAAAGTAATATTCAAATTAGCCTTTTAAAAATTATACTATGGGAAAAAAATGAACACACTTAAGTCAAAATTAAGGGTGCCATAAGCAAATAACTTGGCAGGATTTCTTAGCAAAAAAATATATATATATGTATATAAATATATGAAGCACATTTCTCTAAGTTATTTAAGTTGGTATATTAAACCAATTTACATCTAATCCAGTGAAATTTATGGCACATATGTTAATTAGGCTAACATAATTGATAAATTAAGAAACATTTCACTCTGTAAAAACAATATTTCTATCTCATAGATTTTTTTTCATCTTTTAGTTTTTATGAACTTTTGTATATGCCACAAAAATATCATATTGATATTAGAAAATGTAATATACCTACATTTGGATTAAGTTATAGCCCCAGGCTCTCTGTCAAATAAAGGGTGCCAGACAGTGCACTATCTGCATCTATCTCTTAATTGATAATAACTAAAGGATTCCAAATTTTATATAACCATCAAGAGAATATGCTGAAAATAATTGGCCCTTACTCTACAATAATTGAACTTGAAGTCTCAGAGAAACATGTTAAGACAAATGTATTTTGCTTTCCCATTAGCCTCTTTATCTTCAATTTTTTTTATCCATTTGTTTTGTCCAATTGGGTTTTATTTGTACCTTTTTAATAAGTTACAACTCTAACAACTGTTTATTTTAAATTTACTTTTTTTTTTTT